CTACCTTCCTTCCTTCCTTCCTTCCTTCCTTCCTTCCTTCCTTCCTTCCCTCCCACGTTAAGCGCCGCGTCAGTCACGGTGACTGACACTATACTTTCCATCCAGACCTCCTCAGTCACTGGTGCAGCCAGCATATTGGTGAAATCGGATATCGCGGTCTAAACGGAAAGGAAGACAAAACAGGCTTGGCGCTTAACGTGTTAGAAGAAAAAACCTTCTAATGTTACAATTTCAGGAGTGAGTCTGCTGGGGAAGCTGGTCTTGGGTGAGCGTTTGTGATGGGAAGAACTTCCCTGGAGACCTTCATCACACTCAGGCTCCAGGAGTCATGTTCCTCCTCCAAGTCTCACAGAGACTCTCCAACTCAACTGAGCTCAGGGCAACCTCTGCATGTGAAATCCTTTTCAGTTATAAAAGATTTCAAAACTTCCTGTGCATATATGTATGCGTGCAGTGTGCGTGTATTTGTGTGTATGTGGGTATATGTGTCCATATTTTGGCATGAATGTGGATTCAGATACTATGCAGTACATGTTTACATATTCAATTTCACTTATTTTTATTTTTTAAGTTAATGTTTTGTATTGGCTCAGATCATTATTTCCAAGCGATTGTGCACTCACATGTCTTTGGAGTATGATCTCTCCCAAAAGGGAATTTTCCTGCATCTTGAATAAGCAACAGATGTTGAATGTGAGGGTGCTAGGGTGGAAGGGGACGCACACAGAAAGATGAGCGGATGTATTCTGCAGGCTGATGGGACTGTGAGATTGAATAGATGTTCAATGAAATGGAAGAAATGGAAGAACCAGAATGTTACATGATACTTGCATTGTTTTCAATTAATCAAAAACAGTGTCTCCACTTTAGCCTCAGAAACATAGCTGATGCAAACACGAGGGCCACTGGTCCTCTTTTTTTACTAGGCAGGGAGGGAAAAAGAAAGCTTCGTCAGTGTATCATAAGGTCTTTAAACCAAAGCTTTAGGTTTGAAGAACAAAAGAATATCAAAGATACTATTGGAGCATAAAGACAAAAGTAATCTTTTAGGGGACAGGTGCTTCCTGGGTTCAAATTTGCATCTGCAATTGTTCTGATAGCCAGCACTGACAAGGGTGAAGCCTACCTCTGACTGACTCTGCTAAGTAGATTTTTTTTTGTTTCTCAGCATCTGAGGCTTCCTGGTGAGGTTCCAGAACTCCCTCAGAACATATTCCTGTGATCCTCTTTGAATACTTCAAAGGACAGAAAAGTGGGGCGGGCCTTACATCAGGCAGAAGGCGGTGACATCCTGGTATCAAATGATGTGGAAATGATTACAGAGGGCTGCCAGAAACTTACATCTGTGTAGCTTGTGAACATATAGGACGTCTCAGCAATATGAGGGCACCGACAGAGCAGACAATACAAAACCCATTTACAGTTGTGGGGAACTATGCCTAAAAGATGTTAAATTACTTATTGCAGATCACAGATTTAGTAGGTTGTAAAGCCAAGAGTGCTGGCACCTTGGTCTGATGCCTTGTCCAAAATTGAATCCAGCTCACCCTGAACTGTGGCGTGATCTGCTGATGCCCTGATGCCCAGTGCCTGGGCTCCACCTGAGACCCTCTGGGCATGCAATTTGGACTCTGCATTTTAAACAATTTCCCCAAGGAATTCTTTTGCACATGAAAAGTCTGAGAACTTCTAAGCTTCTAGAATCTCTTGTTTTTCAAAGTATAAGCTATGGACCAGCTTTGGACCAGCATCACCTGGGAGGTGGTTAGAAATGCAGAATCTCCTGCCAAATCCCAGACTCTGAGAATCAGAATCTGCACCCTAAGAAGATTCTCAGAGTCACAGACACATTCAATTCTGAGAAGCACTGATATAACCTGAACATTAAAAGCTAATAAATGTCTTAGCAAATCGAGGAAGATACATTTGGGATTTAATATATCTGACTTTTGGTTTTTCCCTGAACGAAGCTCGAGTCAGCTGTCCTCATTTCTGTGTCTGCCTCAGGACGGGGCAAGGCCTATGTTAGAGGACCTGCTTGGTCTGACTTTACTTATCAGACAAGCTTATGGAAAATGTTGCTCCACTATCCAGACAGCTGAAGCAGTGAGGCCCATCAGATATGAAAACTCTAGCTATCTTATTATCTCTGCATGCGGTCTGCTACACAAAACAGAACCCCGAGATAATCCTGATCAGCACTAATCACTGAAACTTGAGGATGGAGAAATGGAGCAAGTGGAAAATTCTGGAAAGGGGACCTCAGGTAGGAATTGAAATTAGCACCAATAGGAGGTAGAGCCTGGGCTTCCTATTCTGGAAAACTTCTGTTTATAAAACTATCATAGTGGTTAGAAACCTATCCACTGAGGATAAGATCTCTGAGGAATGACTTGTGATAATTGGCAAAATGAGCAACTTGTTATCCCTTTGGGGAATTGAATAGTTGTTCCAGGAAATCCAAGTGTTTTCCATCTCAGGAAATCCTAGGATTTAGTGTTGTTTTAGGAATTGGAAGTTCATTGTGGAGAGAGAAAACGCAGCAGCTTTCCTGAACTATTTCCAATACATAATACATGATTCATATATGATAGGTCGCCTGTGAAAAGTTATATCAAATCACCATCAGACTTATTTGGCAGGATGTTTCTTGGCCGATGCAGAGTGAAAGAGTATGATTTAAAGGGTCAGAGAAACAAACTGTGTTCCCAGTAGTTTCTAGCAGAGGCTGGGTAAATTTGACTTTACCTAAAATATTCTGATAGAAGAAAGAAAGAAATCTACACAGGAAGAAACTGGTAAATATACAGACCACAAAGGGATTCTGGAAAACATGATTAATGAAAAATATTACTTTAAATATTACCTACATTAAGTTTTTAATTTAAAAATCCCCTCAACTATTGGAGCTCCCCAAATCCCAAGAGGACCACGCGATCATGTTTCCTAAAGGACTACATGCTTTATATTTAATTTCAAATAACTCAGTGTTTAGAGGTTGCTTTAAATTTAATCTTAAGGGGCAATTCTAGAACAATGGAATGGAAGAGGCTGCATTAAATCTATTTTGAGGAAAAAGAAATTCTAACAAAGCAACCAGGTTCTAGGGCAGCATTTGCATACCTTTGAAAAGTTAAAACAGACAATATTAAATTTGTAAAAGCTTACATTGTAGGACTGTGGAATTGGTTAATATCATTGTAGTCGGTAGGAAGGAAGAGGGTGTTACATTATTTATCCCAGAATCTTTGAAGGCAGCTTTTTTTTTTTTTCTCAGCTGGTTCATTTTAGTGTTAATGAGCATTAAGCTCATATATCAAAGAGAGAATAATAAACCTCTAAATGTCAACCCAAAGGAGGTCTTTATTTTTCTACTTGAAGCTGTGAGGCAGCGAAGATAATTTAAGATATGAAAGCCAGGAAAATTACATGAAGATTCATAAAGGGAAAATTGGAAGAGGCATGAAATTGCAGAGTATTTGAACAAGAGAGTATTCTACCTGTATATTTAGCACAGCAATGCTGAGGGGAAAGAATACTTTAAATAATTGACAATGTAGAATTAAAACTTGCAGTAAAAATTTGGAAATGAAGCCCCTTATGCTTGTCTTTGAAATGACAAATGTGAACATTTATCATTAGCTTTATTATAATCTCTAAGGATGAGCTGATTGATGGTTCGGAAAGCATGTTTTCTGTCTTGTACATGGTACTAAATTAGAAAAGAACGAATTAATGAAGGGTCATAGAGGGTGTTAGTAAAGGACTCAAATCATTGCAGTGCCATTGCTGAGGCTAACAATAGTGAATGGGCTTAAGAGGTTCGGGCAGAATAAAATATTCCTCTTGATGACAGCAAGAGCAGGTCTCTCCGAATGGCAGTATCACAATGTACCGACTGAAAAGAAGCTTGAGTTAGAACAAATCCTTCAAACTGAGTGATTCAACAAAGCAAGAGGGAGAGAAAACATTTTGATTCAAGAATAAAACGTACCTGGACATAAAGGCATTCTCAGAAAGGTCTGCATGCAGCTACTCTGGGTGGTTCTGGGCATATAATTTAGGAGAAAGTTGGAACATATTCAAACAAATGAGCAGGTTACCTCAGAGAACTAACGGATGTGCCTTCTTTCTCTCTGACACCGAGGTTTTGTTATAGCTGCTTTTGTTGTTATGTGGTTATATTCTGGGCATATCTCTACTATGCTTCCTAACTCTGATTAGATTTTTACTTTCTTGAAGCTTAGGTGGTCTCTGATCTTAAACTATGGGACCTAGAGAGTTGGAAGTGTACAACCAGGGAGGAACTTTGCAGAGAAGCCATGCAGATAATTGCTGATAC